CTCAAAAGTAGAAAGACTCTGCCTCTTTTTGTTCTTTCTTTGTTCTCCACTATAGAAAAAATTTTTAACTAATCTAACTTCTAATACCAAATACTTCCCAAGAGATGTACTGCTGCTGTGGATTATATAATGTTGGTGTTCTTGCCTCTCAAATTAATGTTCAAAAATTTATAAATGTGAATGTTTTATATAATATTTACAAGTTTTTCTTCCATATATAAAAATCTTAGAAAACATAAACTTTGCTCAAGTTATGTTGATAATATATGATTCTCATATTTAACAGTATTACAATAATCTGGAAAAAGTCTGGTAACAGTCTGAATTGAAATCTTTTTGAATTGTATTTATATAAAATATTAACTTGACCACTTCTCAAATCATTATCACTGACTACTTATTTCTCCTTATACCTCAAGGATAAGATGTGATATAATACATATGAAATGGATGGCATATACTTTTATTTTTTAAATATATTTTTAGTTGTAGATGGACAAGATACATTTTATTTATTTATTTATTTTTATTGTATGTGGTGCTGAGAATTGAACCCAATGCCTCACAGGTGCTAGGCAAGCACTCTACCACTGAGTCACAACCCCAGCCCTGGTATATACTTTTCTTGGATTAAATTGTGAGACAGGATTATATAATTAAAGTATTCTTTTTTACTGGAAGATGTCTTATTGACTTTTTCTTACATCCTGTATTTTAAATTAATCAATTTCATTTAAATATAGGAAAACAAAGGTAGAAAAATTCTATAATTTGGCCAGGTTCATAAAGGGAAAGTGCATAATTAAAAATAATAGCATTGTAGAACTGTAAGAGAACTTGACAAGATCACCTGTGTTTCTGGTTAAACCTTTTCATTTCAGTGAGGGATAGGATTGAAGTCTGAAGTAGTTAAGTGACTTTCTCAAGGTGGCATGCTAGGTAGCAGTTAAGTGACTTGTTTAAGGTGACATGCTAGTAGAAATGGAGCTAAGAAGAAAAGGAGCTTAATGACTAAGTCACTCAGCTGCTGGTCCAAGATTCTTTCTATTGTACCTTACTAATGAGGAATAATTGCTGAAAAGCAACAATTTAGAATTTGGAATTTCTTCATTCGTATAGTTTAGGTGGAGGAGCAAGAGAGCCTTTTGAAACAACTTATAAATACTTAAAGGAACTTGTTATCAAGTGAGTACATATGTATATATATACTTTTTCTTTCTTTTTGTCATATTGGGGATGGAATCCAGTGCCTTGGCAAGCCAGGCATATTACTTTACCACTGAGCTATACCTTAGACCCTCATGTGTAAATTAGGATTGTATTAGGAAGACCTGGTGAAAGAATATATATATATATATATATATATATATATATATATATATATATATGAGAGAGAGAGAGAGAGAGAGAGAGAGAGNGAGAGAGAGAGAGAGAGAGAGAGAGAGAGAGAGAGAGAGAAATGTTCATTATGGAATTTGAGTCAAAATTTAGAGCATGATACAGGAAAATGGATGGAACTTGAGATTATCATGTTAAGCCAAATAACTTGAACTCAGAAGGTTGAAGGTCTTATGTTTTCTCTCATATAAGGAAGCTAGAGAGGAAAAAGAAAAACAAGGATTGGAATGGTTCTACTAAACATCAAAGGGAGATCGGTAGAGGAAAGGGACCAAGGGGTGAAAGGAATGGTGTGGGGTGGGGAGTGGGGGGGGGAATGCTCAAGAATGATATTGATCCAATTTTATTGTATGTATGTACGAATAGGTAACAGCAAATCCCATGCATATTTACAACCATAATGCACAAATAAAAATGTGGAAAAATTTTAGAGCATACATAGAGAGATGGTGTTGTGTTAAAACCAGGATATACACATATTCACATGAAAAAATAAGGAAATTGTTGGAAAGCAAGAAGGGGATTAGAAAGCAGAATCTACTTGGCTTAGAAAATCCAGTTGGGGCACTAGAATTCTGCTTGGTAAAAAGCACACTGGGGACAGGAGATGAACAGAGAATGAAAGGGGTTAGCAAAGGTTTATGTGACATAATTGGTAGAGAATGGTGTGTACACTAGATTCTAGTGACTAACTTCATGAGAGCCGTATTTTTTTTCTTCTGCTTCGTTCACTAATGCATCCCCAGTTCCTAGAAGAGTGCCTGATATGTAGTCGGCACTCATTAAGTATTTGTCAAATGAACAAATAAATGATTGAATGAGTACAATGTGTGCATGACAAGATTGTAGCTCTTGAATGAAAGAGTAATATGATGGAAAGTGTCTAGTTAGCATATTCTTGTAAATATTTAATGAATGGTCTAACTATGTATGTTAATCTATCAGTATGGTATGATATGAAGACTTGAATAAGAACCACAGGAAGAGAAAAGTTGTAGGGCCTAATGAAAATAAATGGAAGGAGAACATGGTATAGATCTAGAAATACAAGGATACCTCTACGGAGCCAATAGAGCACAAAAGGAAATTTCAAAATCATTTGGATTCAAATGATTTCTTTTTCATTAAAATTGGACACCTGTGAAATTAATGCTTTTATTTTGTGAAATATATAAATGGTTTAAGAATCCCTCAAAAACAATAAACCAACTGTAATTATTTAGTATGTTATAATTTGGAGAAACAAGGTTGTTTTTCCAGGGTATCTCTGGAACTACTTTTTAATTGTGGTGACTTTTCATAATAAAATAACCTCAGTGGAGTTACAGATGAGATTTCCCATGCAGGCTTATTAGTGCCATTAATGCTTTTGTATCTAACTCTTCCCAGTGTTCATTTATTCTTTTTCATAATCATCCTAAATTACTATCTCTACTGAGCTTCTTTGAACTGAACCTTGCCATTCACTAAGGACTGAGTGATATCCTATTTCAATCAAGTGTCAGGAATAAACTAAATTGCTTTTATGTGAAGAATTAGTTCTTTCTTTTTTTATAAGCTGATGCTTATAACACATTCTATATTATTAGAGAGGCCTATTTAAAAGCCAAAATCATTGATCTGAATATTTAAATTCTCAAATTTGCAGCACCTTAGATAAGCCAAGGTAACTGTTTTCTACTTGATTAATGACAGCAAGAATTAAACTGCAGGAGCTGGCATATGGGAAATTGCTGAGAATGAAGAGCCCATATTTTGGCTGACATGCTGTTTGCTGCTTTCAATTCTCCTTTTATTTCATCAAGTTCATATGAAGGAGAAAAAAGGCACTGAGTGATGTTCAGAACAGTTATAACACCTTGCTTTTTCTTTCCTGCAAAAAAAAGAATAACTTTCTTTTCTTTACCTACCAATATCTTTTCCATCTCACATGTTTCATTCCTTTTTAATGACAGATGTTATGAAAGTGGCCTTTGTCATTACACACTGTGACCTCTCTTAAGAGTTTAAGCTGTAGAAAATGAATGGAGCCTCCCCAGCTTTGAAAATGCCATTGCCATTATTGCCCCCACCTCATCACCAACACATGGGTAAAAAAAATCATGAACAGAATAGAGAGATAAAAACAAGTGGCTTGAAAGCTGGGGTATAAACTTGGGGGAAAAGCCTTATAAATAATAATAAATACTTTTCTACTCCCAGAAATCTGCTTCTCTATTTCATCTTTTCCATTGTGTATTTATCTTAAAAAGGTTTCTTGTGTACTCTGTGGGATAATATGATGATTAAGAACTCAGATGCTAAAGTCAGATACTCTGTGTTTAGATCTTGGATCTGTCACTTGCTAACTAAGTAATCTTGGGAAAGTTATAAACTCTCTATGCCTCATTTTCTTCAAATATAAAGAGAGCATAATAATGAAATCTATCTAGGTTTGCTGAGAGCATGAAATGGGTAAATAATGTGAAGCCCCTTTGGCATAGCATGTGTTAGCTGCTATCATTATAATTATTTTGTATTACGTGCAAAATTTTATAATAGTACTTTTGAATTAATAAAATGTCAGGGTTTTTCTCCTCCTTATACGAGTAGATACATTATATGCTGAAACTTTGGACAATTGGGAGAACTTTAAAGAAATCCTTCCTTTCTGTAATCTTATTTCCTAGAGGAATTGACTCCTCTCACTGTTTTGGTGCATTCTCTTGTAACTATTATTGAGTTCATTGTCCTTTTTACCTCTTTCTACCACCAATCCTTTTATATACAAAGACAAAATCATGAAATATCTCCAGAAAAAAGTAGATAAGGAAAAGCAATTGATCAGAAAGCAGGAAGCCTAACTTCTACTCCATGCCACTTGGTAGATTGTTTAGGTAACAGTAGGCATTTCACAGACCTGCTCTGCTCTCTTATCCCTTTACTGAACTATCTTAGCAAAATGGTATGGCAAAGAGCTTCTCTCTGCTTTCCTTACAATGATGTTTGGATCCATCCATCTCAAAAGAAAGCTGGTACATAGAATGAGGCAAAGTAGAAAGTAACAGGTGAGTATAGAATTAAAAGCTCAGTATACCCACGTAGGATGTGTTTTTAAAAAATCTAAGAGGAATCAAATGACAAAAAGCGGCTATATTCTCTAAGCTGCAGGAGCTATGGAGAGGGTTTCTCTAAACTGTTAATTATAATGAGTTCTGATATTTAAAGACTGTCCTCCGGTATGAATTTTGAGTAATGCCAAAGAAAGAATTCCATAATAAACATCCGTTAATTTTATCACTTTTTGTATAACCCTGTGATAAGCCAAGAGAGAACTCTATGAAATTAGAAGAGCTGTACTCCTCATTTAAATTCACTCTAATGTCTTAATATGCATCTCTCCTGTGGTTATAAAACATCACCATGTTAATCTAACCTGAACCCTCAAGTATCATCTCCATTCCAAGCAAATGAATGATTCATTTATTCAAAATAAAATGAATCATTCCAAAATTGGGTGATTTACATAAACATATGAGATATTAGCTACTTATGCTAAGAAAACGAGGAAAATTTTGTCATTTTAATTCATCTCTGGCTTTTTTGCTGCAATCTTTTCCTACCTAATGTTGAGAGACTTTTTCCGCAGCTCACTCCACTTGAAGTTCATGTTATCCAGACGTCTTTGTAACAGTGCCGCTTCATCAGAACCTTCCAGGGATCTCAGGATTTTTTGGCCATTTTCGTCTAGGTTGTGATAGATATCTGTATGAGCTTCGATTTCTCCTTGGAGGTCCTATGGGGCAGCAGGAAGAGGGATACATGCAGAATTATTGAATGAAAGAAACTAGCAGTGAATATGAATTTGGAGGACTACAAAAATAAACTATGAAAAAAAGAATAAACTATGAGTTCAAAAGACATTTTAATCAGTCCCATATGAGATGATATACCCCAAATCACTTTTCTTGGTATATTGTCTCGTGTTATTATGTAGATTGAAAATGAACATCTAATTAGGTGTAGTAAATTTATTCCTTGTCATTTTTAGTTGGAAAGTAATATATTTGTGACTTCACAAATTTCATAAGTTAAATCTTCTAGTCCATGGATAAAATATATTGTTTTATGGAAATGGTATAAAATAAAATTATATGGAAAAGTGCATCCCGGTGCCAATCATTTCACTAAAATATGAGTCAAGACATATTTTGCATTTACATAGTAATCTGTAAGGTAGACTCTGACTATAAAAGCATATAGAGATGAATAAACAAGGTTGTCCTTGGTCCACAGCACAAACACATTAATGGGACTCTATCAGAGAAGCGAGTCTTCTTGACAACACACGTTAAGTTCACCTTGGTGTTAGCGCATCATACATATGTTATAGCATCACACATTTATTAGCAAAATCTCCCATTTAAAAATGCCATCATATTTCTAGGCTTGAGAGGTGGAAAGTTCATAGGACCTTGGTAAAAGTTATGATAAGAGGTACACATTTAAGTTCATGTGTATAGACACAGATTAAGAAAATTATCATAGGAGAAGTATCTGACCTTTACATGGTATGTCTTCCTGTGTAACATTTTCAGCTTGAACCGGGGACTACAGCACTGATCCTGTTGCATAGCAATCCTGAGAAAACCCAGAAACTGAAAGTGCCCTGCTTTAAAATGCCAACTTTGCTTACATTCTGTTGACAGAATGAGTTTCAGAGCACAGGCCTCACCAGTCAATAATAATAAACGGCCACTTTGTACTCCTAGCTAAACGGTAGCCAGGCGTGTGGATGTGGGAGGGACCTCAAAGAGAGGAGGCCTGGAATATGCAACTGACAGTTTATATTAAACAGCCAACTTTTCTTATCATTTCGCCATTACAAGCCAGAGACATTATAAATTCATTTTATATATGTGTTTCCCTCCTTGTTCCCAGCAGTACAGTCAAAGCCAAAGGAACATTCCTTAGAGAGCTGCCGGGTACCAGCATTCCTTTCTGCCTACACAATGAATGGAGGCTTTGTACATTATCTGACTTGCTCTTAGAGATTTGTATGCTTCTGTTCAACAAGTTTGAAAATTCATTCTGAAGCTCCAAACAATTGGATTGATCTATGTAACTAGAAAAGTTTTCTTTTTTCTCTGTCTCTCACTCTTTCTAAAATTGAATTAAATTACTCTGCTAAAGTAAGGGAGAAAGTGGCAACAATAACATGTTAGAAATTCTGAAGAACTAGCTCACGTTTTCAGGCACAGCCTCTTAAGATGCAGAAGTTTGAGTGCTGCAGAAGTAAGGTAGTTGGGCAGTGAATGTCTCCTGTTACTATTTTTGGCAGCCAAAGTACCCTTGATGGACTCTGATGAGAGTTATATCCCATCCTCTTTGACTGGAAGGACTGGAAAGGGCATATGCATAGGACCACATCAGAAGTTGAAAGAAGGAAAATACTAAAGTAGACTTAGGAGCATGTATCTCCAACCCATTAAAACCAGGCTGGTTCTGGAAGGGTACAGACAGATTTTGAAACTAGCATATGTAGTAGGAAACTAGCATTGGGCTTCTTCAGAACAAAGTTGGGTCAAACATATATCCATTTTATTGCAGTTTTCTTCGTCTTTTTTAAAAAAATCTACATGGAATAACATGCTGGCTTTTGAGCAAAAGAGAAAATTGAGTTAATTCATCTAAGTAGTTCAGGAAAAATAAAAACCAGATCCAAGGTCCTGATAATTTCCTCTCTTGTCTCTTTTACTTTATTTTTTTGTTCTGATTTGTACACTACCTAAAATTTCTCCTCAGAGTATATATTTAGTGAATTAAAGTCAAATTTACAGTTGTTCAAGAAAATAAAGCTCCTATTTGGTTTTTGTGCAGTGCTGGGGATCAAACCCAGTGTTTTCATATGCTAAGCACTCATCCACCAAGCTACACCCCCACAGCCCCAGAGAGTAAAGTAGTTTGACTAATAAAATAAACATTATACAATATATGTTTATAAATGATTATACATTTGAATTTTTATATCCTGTATTGATAGCAGACACCCAGTCCTAATCATTAGTTTCTTAAGATTATGTATAACATGAAGCTATCAACACTTTATTGAATAAAAGAGGTCTTCTCAAGTGCAAATAGGATGTTGATTCATGAATTTGTTAATTTTCATCTTTGCCATGACTGTGTGTATCACACTGCATATAAACATTTTTGCTGTATCAATAAATAAATGAAAATAAAATTCATATACAAATATTTATCTAAGACTAATTGTCTAGTCTTAGCATCATGGAAATATAAGAATGCAAGTGACAGTTCTCTTTTCCTGAAGTCATGCATGTACTTTTTATTTGATCCATGCATATTATATTACTAACTAAATATCAATGAGAATTTCCTGCCAAATCTCATAGATACTGGGATAAAATTTTCTCCCTTAAGAAATGCAGAATTGGCTGAAGTAAAAAGTCTTAATATCGACAGAAAGGTAAGTATAATGCCAGTGTTAGTTTTCTAGGGCATCATGGTGGCTTGGAGCACCAAATGACATATGTACAGTGAAGAACTTCACAGGTTACAGTGCACTCATAAATGTAACACCCTGGCTGTTCCTCCCCTGGCTGTGTGAAGTATATCATATTCTTCCTGTTTTGCAGATGAGAGGTTCAGAGAAGTTTAACTGATTTGTTCAAAGTTTTCTATGTAGTAAATGTTAGAACTGGGAAGTGGATCCAGTTTTCTTGACTCCTGAATATCTTGGGCTATTTCTACCAATCGGTTTGCTGTGAGCATTGGATGTAATACATAGTAGTTACTGAAGCTGAACAAGGATACTATTAACAAGAGGGAAAAAAAAAAACTGTTGAGGGAGAAGCACACTGAAAGATAGCATTACTGATTTTGATAAAACATTTACCCACATGGATTGATTTATTCTGAGTGAAAAATGGAATCCTAACTACACTTTTTATTTCTCATTTTGCAATTGGACATCTGGGACCACCTGTGAGCAAAAACTGTCTGTATTGAAAAGGTCTTACTATAAAATATCTCTGCTGCCACAACACAAATTCTCCCATCAATGAGTCCTCTCTTTGTCTCTAATTGCCAAGAGAACCATGAGCTACACCAAGTAATGACCTGACACATCAGCATTAAGAGAGTTCGATCACATTCCTTTGGGATGCAGGCTGGTAGAGATCTGTCAAGCTACAGGATTCAGGTAGGTTTCCCTAAAAGACAGACAAGTACTGGTAAAGATTATGAGGGTCTCCTTCAAAGGTTACCCTACTGTAGTGGAGAATTTTCAGCACCAATATGCAGCATGAGTTCTAGGTGGGGAGGGGACATTGACAGGCCAGGTAGGAAGAAACATACATTTGCAGAAAACCACCATGATGACATTCATTTTAAGAGTAAACCTTACACTTAGAGACCACAAAAAAGCAGGAAGTTGGTATGGAGAGTCAAGTGGGGTCTTCAGAGAGTAGCCAACCTGGACATAGGACAATTTTCACAGAAAATTGTAGGTAGTTTTATTTCAAAAGATCACTCAGGATTTAGTTACTGTATTTATTGTATGCTATATATTTTTACTCTTTTTTTGTGATTGTATTAGTATTTGATAGGGAAAAGATATTTGTTATATAAACAACAAAAACTACTTCAGCAGCAGTAACAAATATAAGACTTACTATATACCAGGCATTGTCCAAAGAACCATATATGCATGAGCTCATTTAATCCTCTCAATCACCCTCTATGGTAAGCATAATTATTATCTTAATTTTCCATATAAGAGAAGAAAATTACAGAGAGATCAAGAAAACATATCCAACATTATATAGCTAATAAACTATGCAGTCAGTGTTGAATTGGGACAGTTGAACAGCAGGACTTGTGCTCTTAACAATTAAGCTTCCTTACCTCTGAGTTTCAGAGTTTTTGATGGCAATTTTGTGATTAATACTATTGTCATCTACATTTTAGTAAATTTAGTTCTGCCATGAGGCACTAAATATCATTGTTTCCAATACCCAAAGAGTAATGTTATAGTCTTATTAATATGGAGACTGTTAAACAGATTTGAAGTAGCAGCCAGAGACATATTCAAAACAATAAGAAGGAACATAAAATAATTGAGAAAATAAATACAAATGAAAAAATAATATATCCCCCCTGAAAACCAAAATATATAGCCTAAATTTCTGTACAATTTAGAAACAAGTTTTAGTGATGAGTGCCAGGAAAGTTTAGATATGAAGCAAATATTATGCTCACAGGGTAGCAGTTCAAAGAGTGCAGATTATCTTGTTTTCTGAAGGACTTTTACAAATCCCACACTTCCTTCTTCCCTGAGAGTCTAGCTTATGTCTGCTATAATTCCCCTTTCTAAACATTCAGGGAAAATTCATGTAAAAGTACAGTTAAATAGCCATGTACTTGAGTCTCCCTGTTCTCTTTCCCTTACTTGATGCTTAAATTTAAAAATTTTTAATCTTGTTGTCTTCACTAAATATTAGATAATAATACCTACATGCTGAGTTAGTTTGGATATTACATGGAATAATTTTTGTAAAATACTTTGAACAGAATCCAGAACACGAGTCTCTAATAAATAATAGCTAACACAGAGCTCACCACTTTGAGAGAATCCATGTGGAATTCAAGTAATGGAAATAGATTTCATGAAGTCATGGGACTCAGCTTGGTCTTTGAGGAATGAATGGAATTGAAAAACATGGAGAGCAGAAGATATTCCAGGTGGGAAGAATAGCATTGAAATGACATAAA